CAAACCAACAGATAATTGCTTTGGCCTGAGCATAAAGAGGAGTTGATTGAGTTTTTCCATTTTTTTCAGTGACTCATGGAGCATAGGTTCCCCTAAAAAAAGTGAAGAGGTGAATTTGCAAGTGCCAAAAGTTTGACTGCGATTTCAAACTATTCATAATTCCATCCCCCCCTCGTCGAATGTCCCAGTTCAAAATCTACAACAACACAATCTCCCAAATGCGGCAGAATGCGTTGTGGTCTCATCAAACCAAGGTTGAAATTTTTGGCTGGAATTCCAAAAGGTATGTTTGGTGCAAACACAACATTGCTTATCACTACAAGAACACCTTGCCTGCAGTGGAGCATGGCGGTGGAAGCATCATGCTTTGGGGCATTTTTTTTTTTCTTCTTCATGTTAAACTGGGGCCAAAGAGAAAGTGGAAGGAATTATGAGCAGTTCAAAAGAGTAGTCACTGTTAACAAAAATAGAAAAGGAAAAACAAACAACAACAAATATCAGGAAAAGCCCACTAGAACATCTGAACTTCATTTTAAGGTTATGAATCAGACGTACTTTAAATTGTGGTAGGTATGCGCTATTATTTCTAAACACAGCCACTAATAAGAGGGTGTGCACACTTCCGCAATCTACTTATTTATTTTTCAGTTGTTTATTTTTCACTTCCCCTCCACAAAAGATGTTTAAAATAAAAATCAATAGAGTTGTGGTCAACTTGTGGGTAGCAAAAGTGGTGAAATTATCTCCGTCTCATTTTTTTTGCAGGACAAAAACCTAGCATTCAAGCAGGGGTGTGTAGACTTTTTATACCTATACAAAACTGTAAAGGACACAAATAACAGAAGTGATTTCCGATCTGACCATAAATAGAAATTGTCGGCGTAAAGTGATGAAAGGGTCACCTTGATTGGACCACAGAATAAGTCGAGCGGCGAATGGAATTCATCTGCTACGATTTGATGCAAATTGGGTTTGTGATGATTTTGATGAAAAGAATCAAAAGAAGAAGAAAAGAAAAAAAATAATAACGGGCCTCCTCAGAACTTACGGGAGGAAATCTCCCCTCTTAAGATCTTTCGTTAAATTTGACAAAATCCAGTTAAAGCCGCGCCATAGGAGGAGTCAGGAATTAAGGCCCCCCCGCGGTGACGGAGAATGCTGCTTTTATTGGACAAGGACGTGAAATCACGGGCAAACAAAGCCTTTTCTTAGCCGGGTGAGTCCGCCTGCCTTCGACATATCTATCCATAGGCCGGCCTGCATAATAGGATCAGAATATTTGGAGAAAAACGTTACAGTTGGGAGGGTTTCCCATTGTGGGCCCACACTGTACTGCCTGATAACATTGAGGAAGGGGTGTTCATTTTTTGTTTTTTTTTTCTACGCTGCAAATCTATTCTCGCCATTGCTCATGACGGAATGCAGTTTTATGAAGTTAAAAAAAAAAAAAACTGATTGGGCCCATCGGCGCTAGAATTTACTGATGTGTTTTTATCTACTACTCTTCGTACAATTCGGCTGCTGAAATATCATTTCATCACCAGATTTGGATTTATTTGACTGTCGTCAAAGTAGCAGGTTTTACAAAACAAAAGAGGATGTGCCGAGAATTGGTTGTCGGGCGATATTTCAACATCTGGGCGCTTTATGAAACAGTGTGTGTTGATTGGCAGTACATGCCATTAAGTACGCCGTCTGTATGTTGTTGAAAAGTGACTAAAACCACAATTGAAAACACATTTGTGTCAATAAAAGAAAGTGCTTGAAAAAAAAAAAAAAAGAATTAGCTTTTGGGACTTTATTACACAAAATTGTGAGACCTTATTTATTTATTTAAAATATTGTACTCAACAAATACTCCATAATAAAAAATAAAAAAAAACTAAACTAAAATTAAGGTTATTCAAAATGATTTTTTAAAAAAACCAAACTATTAAACCTGCTCTAAGAACGAAGTAAATCTGACTGAATTAAAAAAAAAAACAAAAGTCAAAAGAAAATGAAAACTAAATCTAATTCAAACCCTGCGTCTGGATGATAACCAGTACAAAAAAAAAGAACTCCTGCCTTGACTACGATAATAATGCTCACGGAGGTTTTCGTTTCACTGTGTTCTGGCAGATCATTGCGAAATTCCGAGTGTTTCTATGATCATAGCAAAAATAACTGAAATGACATGGTTGCATAAGTGTGCACACCCACCTATAACTGCGGATGTGGCTCGGATCGCATTCAAGTCCCTGTTAAACGGGAGTCAGCATTCAACAGACACCTGCACACAATTAAAAATGCCTCTGATTCCCCCCCATTGCGTTTGAGATGTTCTAGTACGCTTTTCCTGAGATATTTACAACTAGATTTATTTCATTTTGCTTGAGGTATCAGTGGAGTGAGCGTTTGAAACAAAAATGAGTGATGCCAAAATTATTTAGGCGATAAAAGTTCACTCTGTCTGCTTTTTAGGGTTTGAAGTTTTGTTTGCGGTACCTGCTGGAGGCTCCCAGTCCGTCTTATGTGGAACTCAAGGCTATTTCCTGCCATTTTCACTCCAGGGCAGAGATGAGAGGACATTGGTCTGCTCTACGGGGCCAACTTGAGTGCTGTCTCTTTCTTTCTTCTCATGAGGCCACATGCTTGACCACAAGAAGACAATGTAAGATAATATGATTCAAATGCATTATAATTACGATTGCCGATGGATTGTCAAATGTGCTGTAAAACATACAGCACATTTGAAATTTCGTCCCTCTCGCATTTTCTTGCTTTTTTTAAATAAATCTTACTTCACGGATTTCACTTATCACTGGTTCTTTGTAGAACGTAACCCCCGTGATAAACGAGGGATTACTGTATTTCGTTCCCTGACCCCGTTTGTAAATCAAGGTAATGTTTCCCATTGAAATGCATGGAACTGCAATTAATTTGTTCCATCTGTTTTTTTGGTCCTCTCCTCTTTTATGTTTCTCCTTGAATTGCTTTCTAATACATTTCACTTTGGTTCTGAATGTTTTTAAATCTAGTACCACCTAAAAAGATACATAGTCCAACTAGTAGCATCATGATGTGTAGTGACCAATACTTTTACGTAGTGGCATCGTAGTGGTCATTAAAAACCACATCCCTGCCACATTATCGACAGTTAGAACACAAGCACTGCCCTTAAATATCGGAAAATATTGTATTTCAATCCTGCTTCAATTCAAATATATTGTGGATACACTTTTTTGTTGCCTAAATATTTGGGGGCAAAAAAAGTTTGAAAAACATGAAATGCATTATACTTGTGGACTCGATTTGGGCAGTGCTTCTTTCATGTAGCACAGTGAAAAATCACAGCTGAAAGAAAGTCAAGCCAAAGCTACAGTTTTACCAACTCATTTCCTTGAGCAATTGCGACCACACCACATGCTGAGGGGGGCGCTGTTGAGGCAAAGAAAAGATGACATTTCAACAGTTTGCACGAGTTTCTCTAAGTTCACTTTCTCCAGCCAGCGGACACAAGACCGGTGGAACGACAGACAACTCCGGCATGCACTCAAAAAGACTGAAATTACATTTGCTAAATGGAAATTCAAGTGCTTGGTCAAATTTTCACACATACAATGAGAATGACCGTTGTCATACGTGGACAGAGTTAACCTCTCGGGCAAGGGTGCATAAATCTCAAGCTAATCTAAAGTGCACGCTTTTTCTTCAGCCACCTCAGAAAATGTGATGCAACATGATTTGAATGAAATCAATTCCTGTGTTAAAAATAACCCAATATGGGTTATGAAGAGTTTTTAACAGCACTTTCCCGGGTGCGCGGGTACACCCTTTTAACTGCTGGGTTAAAAAACAACTCAACTGAAAGTGACGGTTGGGAAAGTAACATTTGAGCATCATTTAGTATTCGTATATCTCAAACGTGTATTTTGTGTTCGATGACGTAGCCCAACAACGCATGTCATCATTTCGCGTCTTTGCCCAAATTCAAAGTGAATTCTTTCTACTAGACAGTTTCGTCACATTCTGACCTCTTACAGAACATTTGTTACAAGTGCTTAGGCAGCACACTGTGCCTTTATGCACATTCTTAAACATGCCTGCGTCAAAAAGAACCCAATTTGGGCCAAGAGTGCACTGACCTGCTACTTGGGTCAATTTGACCCAACTTTCTGCATTGTTTTGTAAAAAAAAAAAAAAAAAAAAAAAAAAACAGAAAGGGAGATTCCAGCTGACCTGAGAAGCAGGTCAGGCCATTTTTGTCCCCCTCCCTTTTTTTTTTTTTTTTCTGACCCAGCAGTTTTAAGTGCAGGTAATAATGCCAACTTTTGAATGGGACTGTGAAACGTAAGCGCTTGTCGATCCATCAGAACATTCGACAAAAGCATCATCTTAATCAAGACAAGCTATTTAATTCCGTTTGCATTGGATTCTATTGTGGTCGAGCCGATCCGTCTTATGACATATTTCAACAGCAGACACCGCAAGGCACTCAAAACGAGACTTGTTTTGTTGTCAGCACTACTTCAAAGCGCCCTGTGAAAAAGTTGATCTAAGTTGAAAACGGGAGAAATCTTCGCTTATAATCAGCCCCCCCTCCCCCTCTTAACACGCGACGAACGGTGCGGTGAATGAATTCTACGGACATACGGAAAAAATGTTATATTCTTTATTCTCACATTGTACTGAGGCGATAACAATAGCAAACTTTGTCAAGAGCATGCTGGAAAAAACTTTACACTTTTCATTCGACAAAAGCTATTAAATATATTTACAGAAGTCTTCCGCTTAAGAGGCTCTCGAATGGTGTCGTGATTTCAAAACATCTCTGTGGTCATAAACGCACAACACGGCCAGAAACGTTGCAGTGATAGAGGAAAAAAAGAACTCACCCCTCCTTCAAAAAAAGTATTGCACTAACGACTTTTTTTTTTTTTTTTTGGGGGGGTTTTTAAGGAAAAAAAGAACTCCCCCCTCCTTCAAAAAAAGTATTGCACTAACGACTTTTTTTTTTTTTTTTGGGCGGCGTTTTGAACATGAGGGTCACAAGAAATGATTCCTCGAGTCCTCTCTCTTGACGTGCTCCACCGACGCCTTGTCGGCGCACTTGCTCCTCTTGTTCTGGTGCGTCTTGACGTGCTTGGCCAGGTGGTCGCTCCGCATGAACCTCTTGCAGCAGTCCGGGCACACGAAGCGCTTCTCGCCCGTGTGAGTCCTCAGGTGTCTCTGCAGCTCGTCCGAGCGCGTGAAGCTCTTGCCGCAGAAGAGCCAATTGCACACGAAGGGCCTTTCGCCCGAGTGCCACCTCAGGTGCGCCTTCAGGTGCGACGTCTTGCCGTAAACCTTGCCGCAGCCCGGGATGTGGCACACGTGCTGCTTCTTCTTGCCGGGCTCGTCGCCGCCGCCGGAGGTGGCCGCCGACTGGCAGTTGGGGCAGCGGCACCTCCTGCAGCGGCGCGCGGTGGTCAGGGGCGACTTGGTGTGCAGGAGAGCGGCGATTTGCGTCTGGTACTGGGCGAAGTCGGCCGTGTGGCCGTGCAGCACCAGGCCCCGCTGCAGCTGGAAGCGGTGCGCGTGGCCCACGTGGTTGCCCTGCTGCAGGCTCCACCACGGAATGTCCTCGGCCGGGTTGGGGGACAGCTGTCTCTGTCCCGCGTGGCCCGTTACGAACGTGGGCATGGCGGGCGGGGTGGGGGCGGGCGCCGCGTAGCTGACCGCCGGCACGTAGGTGGGCGGGCAGGCCGACTGCATGGAGCACGGCAGCATCTTCACCGGCGAGAAGTCATACGGGTAACCGGGGTCGGCGGGCGGGGTGAGGGGCAACTCGTGCGGGGAGCCGAACGAGCCGAGCGGCTGGGGCTTGGAGGATAGTCCGAAAGTGGAGTTGCTCTGCGGGCTGGCCTCGTTAGTCCACGGGTGGAACAAGCGCGAGGGCGAACCCAGCGTGGTGGCGTCGTAGGGGACCTGGAGGAAGTCGGGCGGGCTGGAACCCGGCGGGTGGTGGTGGTGGTGATGATGATGATGCCCGATGCGGTTACAGGTGGCGGCCAGGAGAGCCAGCGGGGAGTGCTTGCAGTTCTCCGGGGAAGAGTTGGGGGTGCGGTCCTGAAATGCGAGAGAGACACTTTTCAGTGGGGGAGAAACTTGACCAGGGCACTTCAATAGGTACACCACCACCTTCTGTTGTTGGTTGCTTCATTTGTGGAATGAGGTAACCCAAATATTAGCAATAGAACTTTTTTTTTAAGACGGACACCGCAAACTAAATAAAAACCATACTGTGACACCTCGGCATCACATAAAGCAGAATTTATATTACTTTAAAAAAGTATTAAAAACAACTCTGGCACCACCGTCAACTAAAAGTAACCCTATTGTTTGGTTCAAAGCCTCTTTAAACAACACATGAGGCCAAATTTGCAATTCTTTAAGACGTCGTGTGGTTGAAAAATACTTTTAAGACGATCATGTATCGTAAAATGCCGATTTTGAACAGCTCGTTCTCGGCAGGTGTACCTGTTGAACTATCGTGCCAGAGCAGATTTTTTTTTTGCTGATCTCCTCCTAAAAGTTTGATTCTTTCTTTTACTCTCAGGTCTCTTACGATAGTTAGAGCCTTGAAAACACATTTTAAAAAAACGAATCACTTATTTTTTTAGCTGGAAAAAGTGTCCCCAAAGTTGTCCCAAACGAACCTGCAGGAAAGCTTGAAGCGTCTCGTTCCGCAGAACGGCCACAGCTGCCATGGTCCTCCTCCGCCCGGACAACAAACGCGCAATAAAAACGCGCCCCCCAAAAAGCGTCTTTTAATTCAAAAAAAAGTGTGCGCATCGGTGGTAAAAGAGGCAAAAAAAAAACAAAACAAAACAAAAAAAAACCGTCAGTTTGGAGCGAGCCTCTGACGCGACCGCCTTCCTCTCCGGTGGATCTCCTCGCACTATCTGACGCGGCGGCGGCGGATCACTTGAGAGAAGGTGATAAGCACTTTGGTGGGCTGCCAGCCACTCACAAATAAGATGGCAGACTTTGAAGTTTGGCTGTCCAATATCATCAAAGAATGGCGGCTCTGCGAGAGAAGCAAGCAAATCCTTTGAATCCACAAAGCTGCTATGGTGTGTTTGTGGTGCGGGATAAAAGAGCTGATTATTAGCAAGGGGAGGCGGGGGAGGGAGGAGATAAAGGCGGGACAATTAATGAAGTAATCACTATGTGGGAAATGTATATAGACAAATAATTGGATTTTCCCCCATCAAAGCCCCCCCACATGCCGCCCCGGAGAGCCCACCATTGGCCGCATGAGTCATCTGATCCGCTTTTTGTAATTAAGGATTTGTAGTAGAACTCCGAGCCACAATGTGACATTGTTATCTCGGGAGATCTCCGAGAACTCGATGGGGGATACATCAAGTGACTCGACGCCACCACTTTTTCATCTCTTCGGCATCGGAGTCTCTGTTCCAGTGCGCTGTTTTACACTTCAGTCGATTCAATCGTGTTTTTTTTTTGTTTTTTTTAAATCACTTTCAAGATGTTTTACGGAGTCATTCTTTCATTTTCTACTTCGGAATCCAGTGAATCCCCTCAAGTGTGCTGCCAGCCAGTTTCGCTTAACTGGTCAGAAAAATAATAATAAAAAAAAACAAAAAAACTACAAATAATGTGCGTCCAGTGGCATATAGTGACACGCAGAACAAATAAATCCACTAGATGGCAGAAGTACAGTTAACCTGTGTATGCCCAAAGAATGAAATTACTTGGATGAATGGAAATATTCACAAGCACGCCACCTTGTGGTATCTCGGCACAAAGGCACTATGTGGAGATGAATTGAGGACATTCATTTTGAAAATTAAAAAAAAAAAACAGAGTGCTTTGTCGCCATCTTGTGGCATGTTGATGGCAAGGAACTATGTTGAGATGCGATGAGGAGCTTCATTTAGACAAAAGTTGTGCTTTGACACAGTCCTGATCTATCTACAGGCAATTACATGCCTTTTTAGGGTTGCGTCAATCACTTCGATTTTAGAGAACCCGTATTAAAAACAAACGGATTATTTGACATTTCTCTCATTTTAAATCATGTATTTTGATTTCTTTGAAAGTCACTTTCCAGCATCTTTGACATCACAGGCTACAAGACGCCCCAATCAGGATACGGGAGGGAGAGCCCTCCTTTAGATTCGTGACGTCTTCATTAAAATGTCGCGTTTGGTTGCTCGCAGTTAAAACAGGAACCGTTTCGTCATCAAGAGGAAACATGCAAATCATGTTCTTGCTCGTTGTAATAAATATTCTTCAAACTTGACACGATTCAGCCAAGCCAGTAAATAGCGTCTAAAGACCAAGAATTCATTCGAGTCCTCATTTTCGGTATTACTTTCATAGTTTTGTGAAGTCACAAATACTTGTTCTGAAACTGGCAATAAAATTGATATAGTTCTCAATATCAGCTGTGTGATTGTTATTCCCCCCCCAGCTGACACAATCACTGTACTGTCAACTAGTTTGGAGAGGCAGATTTTTGAATTAGATGTGTTCCTTTGATGGGATTAATGTTCTTAGTCCTCTCCCACGGCTTTCCGCACAAAGTCATGAGGGAGGGATGGGATGGAGGAGGGGGGTGGGTGTGTGTGGGGGGTGGGGGTCCTACTGGGCTGGAGCCATGTAAGCTACAACTACAAGAACCACAGTTGTCGCATAGTATGGCCGAGTGATCCGAAAACTAGCGGAGATTAAGCTTGTTTACATGACGTCGAGGCAAAGCGGCGGGGCAGGAATGTGATCAAACATTCAGAATGGGAGCGACTGGTGAACTACAAACGTGGCAAAGCATCGGTTGGTTGACGTATGCTGTTGACGATCAACTCCCAGTGCTTTTTAACCACTTGAAGTCCCTGGAAAATACATTTATACAATCATACATCATGTAACCCATAGTGTATCCGTCCAGGACCAGTTGTTCGTCCCCCACCTCCCAAGACCTGAAACACCCTTCAAGCGCCCTTTACACCAATCGCATGTAAACTACACGACAGGAGTGTGCATGCGGGAGAGTGGCGGTTGAGGAGTTCACACAGATCTGGAGAGGGAGGTAGTTTGTCAAGGGCTCTGCAGGTGAGGGTGAGGAATTTATGGGGTTTGCATTTGGGGTAGAGGGAGGCGATTCAGTTTTCAAGGAACTCGGGTGGGTGGGTGGGGGTTTGGATTCAAGCGGGGGAGTTTGGGGATATTGTGTGGAATTTTTTTTTTTTTTTTTTTGCTACTCAAAATTCTCGCGCGCTTTTTTTGTGTATATGCGGGTCGGCCGCGGGAGGATCGTTCCTTTTTTTTTGGGCTCAAAAAAGGTTGGGCATCCCTGCTGTAGAGAGATGAGGCGTTGTTGAGATTGGTCTACAGTCCTTAAGAAAACAATGCACTGCAATAACAAAAACCAAAAAAAAAAAAAGTGCACCAAAAAAACGTGAAACAGGGAAGCCATGAAAGGTGAACCGCATTATAGAGAGAGTTCATTGCACAATACCCGATGAAAGGGAGGAGGCCTAGTTCCGTACTTTGGCTCTCCCTAGTTTTGAACGCAACATAATGTAGGATGGGCGCATTCATCCGATTCCCACAAATTCAAAACAAGGTTGCCGGGATTCCCCCCCCCAGATTACTGTAGCGATATTTTCTTCCAAACTCAGTCATGTGTCGATTCGCCTCTTCCACGAGCCCTTCCAATTCCACCGCTTGAAACTTTAAGTTTGCGCTTGTGGTTCTTTCCCAAATGTTCCATGAAGGAGGACCTGAGCGATGAATCGGATGATATTCGCTCGTTTTAAAGCAGAGCATCTTGGGATGGATTCCAGATTGAAAACCGCGATCCAACGTGCCTCTCCACTCCGAAAGCCGCATTCGGATCGTATATGTCAAGCGCATCGACTTTTCTTTGGAGCCGCTCGGTTCAGCGCTAACTTCAACTCCTTCCAGTCGCCGACATTTCAGTGTGACTCCAGCTGAGGAATGGATTTGGCCGTGCAGCGCTTTGAAATAGCTTGTGAGAAAAAAAACACAATGTGCGGTCCCCGAGTTAATCGACTTGCGGGAAACCTTTACCGTCTCACGGCCACGCTTCAAGTTTGACAAGGGGTCACATCAGTCGGCGTTCGCTCGAGTCAAACTTTTTCCTGCTGCATACTAAAAAGCAAAAAGGGGAGACCGTTTAAGAAGACGAGTGTGGAAGCGTACAGGAAAAGTCTGAGTCGATTCAACCCCATCTGATGTGATCCCAACATTTCGACCCCCCCACCCCCCCTAATATTCAACACGTGGCACTTCTATGCCACGAGCAT